CACGACGCTCTTCCGATCCCCCCAAAACCCCAAAACCCCTAAGAGTGAGTATATGGACCATCGAAGAAGAGCATTTTAATAGTGTATCGCTTAGAGATTATAATAATAGATCGCAATAATTTAAATTGAAATGTCAATAACCCCGTAATATTTTGAAATCAGAGACGTCGGCAAGACCATCAAAAGGTATCATTTACCCACTCATCTTACACTTTACCAGCACAAAAAAGCAATACATTTGGAGATTCATACTAGATGGCAAAAATTATACTATTGAAATGTTCACAAGTGTCCTCTCAGGCAAAAAGAAAATACTTTAGAATGGCTAGGTGATTTATTTTGATTCAAAGTAAGTCCAATTCTTATTAACCAATTAACTCATCTGTTTGTAGGTTCAAGTCAGCCTTCTAGTTCCCATTCACCATTGGAAAGAACTCTTTGAATATTGTCTAGCACGGTGATAAATTTGAACTGAGAATTAATAATCAGTCATTTACTCATCTCTGGGATAATGGTAAAGTGCATTTCAAGTTTTTTTCACTTTCAAAAGATTTTCTCACTTCTAAGAAGATATTAGAAAGTGCCATTAAAATCCTACTTTTTTAATAATCCCAACAAATAAATGATCTATTATTTTAGAGAGAACAAAGAGAAATTTCAACTATGAAAATAGAGAGGAGTTAGACCCATACAAGCAAAAGGATTATGCCAAAAATTACGAGTAAAACTTCATATTTCTTTCATAGACTTCTGATTAATGGTTTTTTGATTAGTTAATCGACAAGACCGGCTTCACATTAACCCAGTCTAGAAGTCAATAACAGACATAGACATAAATCTCAGCATCATGGAGGAAGTAGCAATGCTGGAAACATTAATGTGAACTTAGATGAGGTAACAGGACTTGATGAATCTGAGATTCAAGCATAAATTAAAGCCTATGAGGAGCTATAAAGAAAGCATAAAAGAGAGTAAGATGTCAGGAGAGGCACTCAGGTCAGCAACAGTTCGAAACCTCAACAAGATAAACAATATAACGCTTATGATTTCGCAACAGGATTTGATCATGGTTTCGACAAGTTCTCTACAAATGCCTAAGGAAGCAGCAGTGGTGCCGGCAAAGGATCTTCTCAAGCCTCATCTTAGAATTAGAAGAAGCCATAACCATAAAATGATGAATTCGATTTCAATTTCAGCAATTCTCAACCTTAATAATAATAATCCAAGCCAAACACCTTCTAAAATACCTAGTAGAAATCTATGCCACCCTAAACATAAAATAATGCTAATAGTAACATGGCAAGTAATGACTTATTTGATCTTTTGGGAAGTGGCCCAAGCTCACAAGGCGGATTTTCTGCTCCTAAACAATAAGAAACTAGTAAAAATGCTCTAGATTTCTTCAATGATCTTGATTTTGGCCCACCATAAACTAATGTAAGCAGCAACAACTTGCAAACTCAACAACAATAACCATCTACAAATCTTGTAGGAGGATTAGATGATTTGATGGGATTCGGAGCACCTATTACATCAATGAACACTACCCAGCCTTAAAATCTAGGAGGTCTTGGTGGCATATAGCAGCAATAACAATAAATGCCACTCTAATAATAACTTTAAAACATTCCATAATAACAGCCAGAAGCTCAACCTGAAAATAAGCCAAAGTTTGTACCAAATCTAGCTGGATTTTACACCTAAAATCAGCCAATGATGCAAAGTCAATAAGAGTTACTGATGCAATAATAGATGCAATAGCAAATGATGATGCAATAAATGATGATGAATCAAGGATTCGGAACAAATATGAATGCTGGAGCAGGCATGGGCGGCTAACCTGGAGGAATGGGAATGGGAATGAATACCAACATGAATATGGGTGGAGCAGGATATGGTACAAACATGAACGCAGGAATGGGCGGCGGAATGGGTGGTGGAAACCCATGGGACAATGGATTTGGTGGTCAGTAATAACAACAATAATAAAACTAAAACTAATTCATGACAGGAATGTAAAATTAAGGCTATCAATAATAGTAATTTGGTGGACAGCCATCTTATTAATAAAACACCTATTAAACTTCAGTTCCTCAGCAGAACTATGGAGGCTCAAACATGGGAGGTGGAGCAGCATCCACACCCTTTGACTTGTTCAACTGAGATGATGCTCATTATTGAGATTGGAAATTAATCACAGCAAAGCTCAATCAAGAATGAATTGTGACTGATTGTTAATGGTATATAATTGATACACTTAAATAAATTACACCTTCACTATCATTTTTCTATTGTATTTGAGTTTTAAAATTAAAATAATAAAAATGTCTTAGAAAATAGAATGTCACTCTCCTGGACAAAACTCTCATGAGGACATATCGCTACCTTGTAAGCATTAAAGTCTTTATATATTTCACAGAGGGATTCTTAGACGATTAGATACTATCTCCCTCCTTCTATATGCCTGAAAATGAGGAATTGAAATACGGGACTCATAATAATATCCGCAGGACTCTATTCTATTCAATTTTTCGCAATGTTAAATATGTGGAATTTAAAAGACTAAAATCAGAGGATGACTACTTCGAGTTAAAGACGCCTGTAGAGCCATGGGATGAGGGCCTCTATGATAGATTTATGGAGAAGTTTATCACCAAAGAGAAATAAAGAGGGAAATTAATAGCAGTGTAAAAGTGGGTTGTGAATAGGAATGACGAAGGTGAGGGATTGTATAGAGTTAAGATATATCAAATGGATGATGATGAGTTCAGAGATAAGATATATCCTCAGAGTTATAAAGATATGCTGAGATACTACTGGTTTAATAGAAAGCACTTCAGAATCTTGTGAAAAGAATACTTACTTATTAGAAATTAAGGTTAACTTATTTGTAAATATTTGATTGGTATTAACTTTCTTAAAACTGATGGCTCTTAATTATTCTTTAAGGGGTTTTGGGGTTTTGGGGTTTTGGGG